CTCTCTCTCTCTCTGTGTCTGTGTAGAAAGGGGAAGAGAGAGACATTTTGGCTCTAAGGGTAAAGTTCATACTTTATTGTATTAATTAGTGCACAGGGTCAGCTGCCGTCATAGTTACTGCCTTCATCACTGTATTGCTGACCACTTCCCAGACTTCCACTTGTTCTCAAGCCCTTGCAGAGTCATGTACCTGGAGTTTCCTCTTTAATTGGTTCCAGTACACAATTTTGATTTTTCTACTCAATCATTGTTTACTTTCTGGAAGACTTTCTTGATCCACTCTTCCCTGATCCACTCAGAGAAATGCCTCTTCTCTGTACTCCCTTATCTTTTGCATCCCAGGGTTAGCAAAAACTGCCCTTCCTGGGTTTCTGTTGCCCATCTGTAAATTGGGTACATCAGAGGCTCTGTTTCTTAGTTTTTTTATTCTGAGAATCAAACTAAACAGACAAGACAGTAAATGGTAAAGCTTTGTAACTCCAAGACCATGTTATATTCCATTAAAAATTAGCCTGTCTTCTTGCTTTATCCAGTGATTGGCTGGGTGGCCAAAATCTATGATAATTGGCAAAGCCCCTTGGTTATCTTTTTCTTTTTAAAGTTTGTTTATTTATTTACTGAGTTTTTTTTTTTTCCCAAGACAGGGTTTCTTTGTGTAGCACTGGCCATCCTGGAACTTGCTCAGTAGACCAGGCTGGCCTTGAACTCAGAGATCTGTCTGCCTTTGCCTCCCAAGTGCTAGGAGTAAAGGCCTGTGCCACCACTTTCCAGGTTTCCACCTGGTTTTCATTGCCCTGAGTCCCAGGCCAAATGGAGGAGAGCTAGTGCGGAGGGGCTCTCTGGGCTGAGGACCATAGGACAGATGGCCTGGCTACTTAGTTAACTCAGCCCAGAATGGATTTTGTTAGTTTACTAGGAGGAGTGGAGTAGTATGTGCTAGGTGTCCAAGCTTGGTATTCTCTTTGGGAGGACAGAGTGAACAAGGATGACCTCGAGATCCCCTGCCTGCCTTCCTTCTTTAATATCTGGTTCTGCCAGGCTTTCCTCGACAGGCACAAACCCACCCAGATTGAATTCTCCCTTCCTCTAATTAAAAACAAAAATCATGTACCAGCTTATTTTCTTTGTATTTTTACTGTAGTTTAGAAATACATGATAAAAGCTTTCCATCATCTGGAGATTGTCAAGTGCTTACAAGGGGCAGGAGCCACATCAGTGTGCTGTGTTCCTGACAGATGATTATAGGAGGTACTAAGTAATGTTTGTCGGGTTAATTCACAGTGAATTGTACTCAGAATGTTGCAACATTGATATGCTTTCCCTGGAGTGCATATATGACCCATTTCAGTGTTGATGGCCTGGGACAAGAAAATAACATCACCTGTGACATCCTGGCATACCATCCCTACATTAGCCCATCTTTCAAATGCCTAACTTTAAGGAAGACTTGAAAATGGCACCCTGAGAACTGCTTTCACATTTACCCTTGAACACAAACTTTCATTGGCCTTGTGCCTGTAGGGAGGAGGGATATGTTCTGCTGAAAGGTCAGCTTTAGGGATTAGGGTCAGGGTTTAGGTTTGGTTTGTGTTAACGTTAGGATTAGGGTTTGGTTATAATTTGTTAGGTTTGGATTAAGTTTAGTGTTAGAGTTTCTGTTTGGTGGTTAAGGTATGGCTTATGATTAAATTTGATGGTTAGAGCTCTGGTTAGTGTTACAGTTAGTGTTAGTGGTTGATATTAGGGGGTTAGAAGTAAAGTTAGGAGTTAGGATTAGGCTTAGTGTTAGGGTAAGGTTTATGGTTAGTATTGATTTACAGTTGGGGCTAACTCACTTTAGAGTTATGGTGAGAAGGTTAGGGTTAGGCTTCAGTTTTGTTTAGTGTTGTTAGGTTTATTGTAGATTAGGGTTAGGAGTAGAGAATGGGTTTGGTTTATAGTTAATGTTTGAGTTTTGAGATTTGGTTTAGGAGTTTATTTTAAGGTTTACTGTCAGGGTTACAGTTAGGGTTTGGTTAGGTTTGGATTAGGCTATCATTAGGGTTAGCATTAGAGTTCAGAAAAGGTTAGGATCAAAGTTGGGTTAGGGTTAGGTTTAAAGTTAGGGAGTTAGAGTTAGGAATAGTGTTCTGAGTTATTGTAAGGCTATTGTTAGGTGGTTGGCATTCACATTATGTTTATATTTAGATTTTGAGTTGGTTTCAGGTTAGAATTAGAACTTGGTTTGGGGTTAGTTTTGGAGTGTTAGGGTAGGGCGAACTCTGGTTAATATTAAGCATATAAGTGTTAGGTTTAGGCTTATGGTTAGGGTTAGGTTTTATATATGATTAGGTTTTCAGTCTAATTAGATATAGAGTTAAATTTAAGATGTTATGAGGGCTAGTTGTTAGGGGTAGGGCTTCTGGTTGCTGATTTATTTAGGGCTAGTGTTTGCACTAGAGTCACATTTGTGATGAGGGCTAAGATTTGGTTTTGATGTCAATTTAAATAGAATGTTAGTTGTAGGCTTAAAGTAAGGTCAGAGTTATGGATAGGATTGGGGTGCTATATAAACTTACAAATAGAGCTATGTACATGTTTAATTTGGCTTGGAATTCTGGTTAGAGTTAAGTTTAGGCTTAGGACTCAGGAAAAGAGTTTAGTGTAGCATTAGGGTAAGGCATAGAGTTAGTGTTAAAAATTGCTTTATAGTTAGTTTTAGACCTAGTTTTGTAGTTCAGGCAGGTGTAGAGTTAGGGTTTTGGTTATGGTCTGATTAGGATTATTGTATGGTTATGCTTAGGGATATTGTTAGTGTTAGGGTTATACAGGACTAGACTAGGTATAGGGTGGGTTTAGGGTTAGGGCTATGGTTAGTGTTGGGGTAGAGACAAGTTTATTTCTAAGATTGCTGGAAGTATTGTTTGAATTATGGTTATGCCTGTGTCAGGGTTAGGACTGGGGACTTAGTTATATTTCTAAGATTCATGGTAGATTTGGAGGTAGGTTTGGTGTTAAGATTAGTGTTACATTGTCCTTAGAATTAGTGTTTGTTCTGTGGTTAGGTTTAGAGTTAATTTAGGTTTATGGTTCCAATTGCTAGGAGAGCCAATGTTAGGATTTTCATTAGGGATAAGTTTGGTGCTTGCTTTGATGTTCTGTAAAAGCTACAGAAATTGTTAGAACAAGTGTTAAGGTTAGTTTTAAACCCATTTTAGGCATTTTGCTTAAGGTAGTGCTACAGTTCCATTTAGGGCTAGGGGTATGCTTAGGGCAAGAGTTTGAGCTTTTTGAAGGCTCAAGTGAGTGCTAGGATTTGGCTTAGTATTCAAGTTATGTCTAAGATATAGCTAGTTTTAGTTTTGTGGCTAGGGATAGGATTACAAATTAGGTTAGAGAAAAAGTTGTGGCTAGCATTAGAAATAATGTTAGGTTTAAGGTATGAATAAGGTTAGAAATCAGGTTGGGGCTAGTGTTAGAACTGGGGCTAGGTTTAGGGTTAGTTTTAGGGTTAAGACTAGGGTTCAAGACAGTATTTGGGTTAGGTGTAAAGCTTTGTTCAGTTTGAGACATAAGGTTAGTGATAGGTTTAGGGCTTTGTTTAGGTAATGTTATGGTTAATGCTTGGTTTAGTGTTTTGATTAGGTTAGAGGTAGGGTGAAGGTTTGATTTAGGTCTTGGAAATCACAGTAGTGCTGTTATTTATAAGGTTAGTTTAAGAGTTAGAGTAGGCTTAGTGTTAAGGTAGGGCTATATTTGTTGCGTTAGTGTTAATCCTGGGGTTAGTTTTATGTGTCAAGTTATGTTTAGGGTGAGGTTTGATGGCAGAGCCAAAGTTAGACTTATGGATGGAGTTCAGTTAAAGCTTGGTGCAAAGCTGGTGTAAGAGGAACAGCTAGAATTGGAAATAGCATTAATGTTAATTATAGACCTAGCTTTAGGGTCCAGGCTTGAGGTAGAGTTACAATTTCATTTCAGTCTAGGGATTTATTTAGGGCTACTGTTTTAAGTATAGGGTTAGAGCTAGTTTTAAGTTTAGTGTCTTGGCTAGTGGTAGATATGAGTTAGGTCTAGGGTTAGAATTAGGGCTGTGTTTTGGGTTAGTTTTAGGGTTAAGACTAATGTAAGAGTATGTGTTGTTTAATGTTAGACTTACGGCTGGTATAAAGTTAGTGTAGGAGGGTTAGGATTAGGGTTGGGTTGGTTAAGACTAGAGGTAGAGCAGGTATAAAGTTAGTGCAGGAAGCACAGTTAGAACCAGGGTAGAAGTTATTGAAAACCTAGTTTTAGGGTACAGACCTGAGGTAAGGTTACAGTTTTATTTAGGATCAGAGATATATTTAGAGCTCGTGTTTAAACTAGGGTTAAGTTTAGTGTGAGAGATATGGTTTGGGTAAGTATTTAAGTTATGTATAGGCTTAAAATTAGTGTTAGATTTAAGTCTATTGATAGACTTAGAAATACATATAGGGTTAAGGTTAGAATTAGGGGTCCAGTAGGGTTAGATTTATGCTTAAAATGAGTTTCAGAGCCAGTGTTTAGAATAGGTATAGGTCTTTGTTTAATGTCATGGTTAAGATTTTGGTTAGGGACTCTCCTTGCAGCAGTGGTCTGAGTGCAGAGTTTGAGCTGGGGCGGCACAAGTCATGGCTGAACAGGCTTTCGGAAAGTGTCTTCTGCTCTTTGATGGAGTATTGGAGTGCCACCAAAACCAGGACCAAAGCATTATGCTTCCGGAAAAGTCTCAAGGAAAAGTATTGCAAGCAACACTAGTGGCTGTGGGACCAGGCACGAAAGGAAAAGGTGGAGGGATTCAGGCAGCCAGTGTGAAAGTTGGAGACAAAGTTCTTCTCCCAGAGGCACCCAAGATTATTATAGATTACATAATTATAGATTATTATTATAGATGACAAGGATTATTTCTTATTTAGAGATGGTGACATTTTTGGAAAGCATGTGAACTAAAATCATTGTTGAGGTGGTGTCACATGAAGTTGCCCATTCTACTGATGTTCTGAACTATTCATCATGTAAATAATTTCTGTGCCTCCCTTTTGTAATAAACTGATGACACCTAAACGAAAATAAATAAATTAAAAAAAGATTTTGGTTAGGATAATGTGGTAGTTGAATGTAACTGGCCTCCATAATCTCATAGGGAGTGGCACTCTTAGGACATTTGGCTTTGTTGGAGTGATTATGGCCTTGTTGGAGGAAGTGCGTCACGGTGGGGGTAGGCTTTGAGATCTCTTTTGCTCAAGCTTCCCCCAGTATGACTGAGAGTTGCCTTCCTGTTGCCTGCAAGATGTAGCACTCTCAGCTCCAGCACCACACCTGCCTGCATGCCACCATGCTCCCTATCATGATGATAATGGACTGAACCTCTGAAACTGTAAGCGAGCCACCCCAATTAAATGATTTCTTTATAAGAATTGCTGTCGTCATGGTGTATCTTCAAAGCAATAGAAAACTTTACTAAGACAGATATGGTTAATTTAAGCTATGGTTATGGTTTAGTGCTAGGGTTAGGGTTATTGTTATGGTTAGTGTTGTTTACCTTTAGATATAGGCTCAGAGTAAGGTTGGAGCTAGGGTGAATTTTTTCTTAGATGTAAATTTTTAAATAGAACTGTGTGAGGGTTAAATTTAGGGTTGGGTTTATGGTTAGGGTCAGAGCTGGTCTTAGGACTCCAGGGATAGATCTTGGTGTAGCACTAGAGTCAGGGGTCTAGATAAAGTTAGAAATAAGCTTATGCTTAGTTTTTGTTTATGATTAGTTTTAGTGTTCTGGTCATATGTATGATTAGGGTTTTGACTAGGATCTGTTTAGGGTTATATTAGGGTTAGGGTTAGGGCTAGAGACACTTTTAGTTATATTTTTAAGATTAATGCTTGAGGTTGAAGTAGTTTTAGAGTTATACTTAGACCTGGGTTAGTAGTAGGGCCATTTGCAGTATTAGGCATATTTCTAAGATTGATGGTAGAGTTAGAGATAGAGTTTGGGTTAAGTTTAGGGACAGTAGTGCTGTTACTTCCAAGTTTGGGTTAGTATTCAAATTAGGCCTAAGGTTGGAGCTAGTGTTAGGTTTTGAGTTAGGCTAGATAGTGTTGTGGTTCTGTTTAGAATTTAGGGCTAGATTTAGGGTTAGTTTTTGGGGCAAGACTAGAATTAAAGCCAGTGTTTAGAGTAAGTGTAGAGCTTTTTTTTAGTGTTAAGATTAAGGTTAAGGATGGGTTAAGACAGTGTTTAAGTTATTGTTATGATTAGTTATATATTTGGGGTTTTGATTACTGCTGTGGTTGAGGATAGTGGTATGGTCAATATTGTAGCTATGGTCAAATGTATGAATACTGTGTTAGGTTAGGATAAGGGTTAGATGTAAACTTACAAATAAAGCCATGAGGGTTAAATTTAGAGTTGAGGTTATGGTTAGGATCAGTACAGCATCAGGCACTGGACTCAGAGTAGGGATAGAACTTGGTGTATCATTAGAGTGAGGAGTAAAGTTAGTGTTAGAAATTGGGTTATTGTTAGATTTAGACCAATTTATTTTTTATTGTTTTTGCTAGATGTATTGTTGGGGTTAGGGTTTTGGTTGGGGTCTGATTAGAGCTACTGTTGAATTAAGGTTAGAGTTGTTCAAGTTAGTGTTATGACTCAAGTTAGCCTTGGCCTAGAGACAGTTTTAGGTTTAATTCTGAGATTAATGTTAGAGTCATGGTTATGTTTAGGCCAGGGTTTGTGTAGAGCAAGGGACAGTTTAGGTATATATCTAAGATTAATGTAAGATTTAGAGTAGAGTAAGGGTCAAGGTTAGGGCTAGAGACAATATTGCTGTCATTTCTAAGGTTTATGTTAGAGTTAGGTGTAGTCTTAAGATAAAAGCTTGGGCTACATTTATTGTTAGGGTTATTGATAGTTCTAGGGTTAGTTTGAGACCTAAGTTTAGGTTTATGTTTAGGGTTAGGCTTGTTGACAGTGTTAGGTAGAGCTTTGTATATTCTTAGTATAAAGCTGTAATTAGTCTTAGAACGTGGGTTAAAGTTAGTTTTAGACATAGTTTTATAGTTGGGGCTTGTGGTAGGGTTACAATTTCATTTAAGGCTACTCTTTGAGCTAGGGCAAGAACTAGGGTTGGGATGCTATTTAAAGGTAAGCCTAAGTCTACTGTTAGAGCTACTGTTAGGTTTAGGGTTGGGTCATGATTATTGTTAGTGTTAGGATTACAGATAGGGTTAGTACTAGGCCTAGAATTAAGGCTATGTTTAGGATAATTTTAGGATTAAGATTAGGATTAAAGCCAGTGTTTTTGTTAGGTGTAAAATTTTGTTTAGTGTTATGTTTAAGTTTTATGGCTATGATTAGGACTAGTTTTAGGTAGTGGTAGTGGTTAGTGTTAGCATTTGAGTGAAGATTAGTGATAGGGATAGGATTAGTATTAAATTTAGGATTGTGTTTATATTTGGTTGTATGTTAGAGTAGTGTTAGATCTGGATTTAGGATTAGGGTGTGATCTAATTTTACTAACAGAGCTATGTGACTATTCCACATTTACTGTGGGGGCTACTGTTAGGGTCAGATCTAGGGATGACTCAGGTTTGATAGAGCTTGGTTTAGCATTTTGGCAAGGGAGTACATATAGCATTAAAAATTGGATTTTGATAAGTTTTAGACCTAGTTAATTAATTAATTAATTAATTAATTAATTTGGTTTTTTGAGACAGGGTTTCTCTGTGTAGCTTTGCACCTTTCCTGGAACTCAGTAGTTTTATTATTTCATTATCCTAGTTAAGGTTAGGATTTTCTTTAGGATCTGATTAGAATTATTGTATATTAAGGGTAGAGTTATGGTTAGGGTTAACATTAGGATTAGAAAGTGTTTGGTTAAGGTTAGGCTATGGTAAGAAATGGTTAAGTTTAGTTTAGGGTAACAGCCAGAGTTATTGTTAGCTCTAGAGATACTTTTATGTTTATTCTAGGATTAATGTTAGAGTTAGGAATAGGGTTATGGTTAGGCTAGAGTTTGTGTTAGGGAATGAAAGTTTTAGTTACATTTCTAAGTTGAATATGAGATTTAGAGGTATGGTTAATTTTAGGGCAGGATTAGGTACAATATTCATGTTATTTCTAAGGTTATAGTTAGATTTAGAGGTTGGCTTAGGGTTCACTTTAGGGTTAGGTTTACAGTTACAGTTAATGTTAGTACTTGGGTTAGAATTATGGCTAGGTTTAAGTTTTGTGTTAGTGACGGAGCCAGGGTTAGGATTATGGACAGAGTTAGTTTAGAGTTTGGTATAAAGTTGATGTAAGGTCTATAGTTATTAGAAATAGGGTTTAGAACTAGTTTTGAGTTTGGGCTGGAGGCGGGTTTACAGTTTCTTTAAGGCTAGTGATGTATTTAAGGCTAGTGCTTAAGCTAGGATTAAATTTACAGTGAGAGGTGAGAGCTATGGTTTGGGTTAGTATTCAAGTTAGATTTAGGGAAAGAGCTAGTGTTGAGTGTAAGGTTAGGACTGGCATTAGGGATAGGGTTAGAAATAGGAATAGGGTTAGGCTTAAATTTAGAGACCACTTTCAAAGTTCCAATTTGTATAGCATTTCTTTGGCTATCCTGTTAGCTATATTGATGGCTTTGTGCTATCAGGACTCATACCTTGGGCCTGGATCACTGACAGAACAATACCATTTTGGGGAGGTTCGTTAGCATATAAAGGCCTGTTTGGGGTTAGGCTCCTCCCTGAGTTGTAGGATGATGGCCAGCCTGGGCCTGGCTTCTGAGACCTACTTCCCACCAGTGCTACCTGGTGGCAAGCTCTGGTATCACATTATTATAAGTTACACAAAATGGTTTCAGCTAAGTTTCTAACAGATATAGAACTTTCTTTAGTGTTAGGGTTAAGGGTAGGCTAATGCAAGGGTTTTGGTTAGTGCTAGGGTTAGTGTTATGATTATTGCTAGGATTCCAATTAGTATTAAAATTAGTATTGTAGTTAGTCAGTCATTTGCCTAGTGTAAGGTTAGAACTATTGCTTGGATTTGGGTTAAGGCTATGATTAGACAAAGGGTTAAGGTTAGGGTTTGGGGTTTGAGGTTAGTGTTAGGTTAGAGTTAGGGTTAAGGGTTGGATTTTTGGTTACAGGTTAGATCAGGGGTAAGTGTAGGATTAGGGTTAGGACCAAATATGCAGTTGTCAGGGCTACAGGTAATTAAGGATAGGAAAGGCACCTGTGCTTTGAGCTGCAGCTAATCAGGCAAACCATGGACACCTGATCCAGGGGTGAAGTTAATCCAAAAGAACTGTAGGCAGCTCAGCCAAGGGTTGCACTCTATACAGAAAAGCACAGAGACCTGAGTGTAAATGTGCATTTATCTGATCATGAAAACCGATCATACCAGTTCCAGAGGTACAGCTGATCAACTAACAAACAAGCAAACAAACAACAACAAAAAGGAAGACAGCTGTTACCACAGCTTAACTAATGACACACATACCTGTGTCTAGTGCACCAACTAATCAAGAAAAGCACAGGAACTTTTGACAAGGGCACAGATAGTCTGGATAAGTGCAGATACCTGTGTCCATGCTGCGGATAATCTGGGTAAGTGCAGACACCTGTGCCCATGGTACAGATAATCTGGTAAGTGTAGACATCTGTGCTCATGCTGTAGATAATCTAGATAAGTGTAGATACCTGTGCCCATACTGCAGATAATCTAAATAAGAGCAGACACCTGTGTCCACGTTACAGATAATCTGGATAAGTGCAGACATTTGTGGCCATGGTGCAGATAATCTGGATAAGTGTAGACACCTGTTCACATTCTGCAGATAATCCAGATAAGAACAGACACCTGTGGCCATGGTGCAGATAATCTGGGTAAGTGCAGACACTTGTGTCCATTGTACAGATAATCTGGGTAAGTGCAGACACCTGTGCCCATGGTGTAAATAATCTGGATAAGT